TTTAGACAGTGCGATCGTTATTTTTTTATTAATTCTAGGTATCTCGCGTCAGGAATGCATCTTGTAAATAAATAAATAAATGCCTTTATTGTCAAAAAATTTTTCAATTTGTAGACAAAGGTAAACTAACAAACAAAGTAAAAAAAACAAGGTACACAAACAAACAAACAAAAGATAATACAAAACATTATACAAATAATATTGTCAGTCTTATTGTTAAAATAAACATTTATAAATGTTTACAATGTCAAAGAACAAAAAAAATTAAAATAATATTCAAAAATATTTAGCCAGTTTATAGCAAAATATCAATGACCTCCAAATAAATTAATTTCGATGTCATTAGTAAATATAGCAATAGCAAACATTGACCAGTGTTTTCAAGATCAAATTCGATTTTCAATTCAAATATAATTCATTTACGGCGTAGAAAGCCTTGTCTAGTAAATAAGAGTTCAATGCTTTACGAAATGAAAAAAATTATGTTATGGATTTGATTTCAAATGGCAGGTGATTGTGCATTTTTTTCGAGTTGTATAATATTGAACTCCCCTCCTTTTCAATATAGTAATTGTCTCCCCTCCTTTTCAATATATACAGCGAGGCCATCTTTCAAGAAGCTTTGGAAGAGGGAGATGAGGGAATCAAATTTAATGGTCAACGAACCAACAATATCAGATATGCTGACGATGCAGTAGTAATGACAGACGATAGTAAAGATCTACAGAACACATGTCTACTACAGAATAAATGTCTCCTGCAAACAATATGGGCTGAATATGAATTTGAAAAAAACAAAATTCATGATTATAACAAAAGACCAAAATGTAAATACTTCAATATCAATAGACAGCATGCAAATAGAGAAAGCCCAACACTACAAATACTTGGGCACAATAATAAATGAAACTGTCGAACAATTACAAGTAATAAAGTCCAGGATTGAGATAACATGAAATTATTTTTTTAAACTTAAGAAATTTCTTTGCAGTAGAAATATAAACTTAGATTTAAGAATAATGATTTAAGAATAATTATGTGTGGTGCCGAAGCGTGGACCATTAAAATAGCCGAAATTAACAAACTGGTGGCTTTCAAAAGGTGGTGTTATCGTCGCATGTTACGGATTTCTTGGGTCGACAGAATTACAAATATAGAGGTGTTACGCCCCATGAACAAGGAAGAAGGAATACAGGGTGGCGCCTCTCATACGTCGCGGAAGCTCCAAGTTGAACGGTAGTTTATATGGAAATGAAATTTTGGCAGCATATATAGGTTAACTGAAAGCACTTTATAAAAATGTATAGAATTATAGATAGGCACATAAAATAAAAAAAACAGTCACGCTATCAGGGTAAATAAAACCTTCATGTTGCTGTTATAAACTTTACTGAAATTCTAACCATAAATTTGATCGGACCGCAGAAACCAACAGAGAAAAAAAGCACCGCAAGTATTCCGGCTTTTTAGTAAAGACTGAAAGTAGAACTACGGTACAGTATTCTTTATCCGCTGCGCTGTAAACGACTATGAGCGAGCAGCGGCGCAGAGCTAAACTAAATCTCGGACAGGTTGACTAGCAGCGACGGTATCGTCAGCTACGTCTCGGACAGGTATGGTACTACGAAATCGCCATAAGGTTACGCATTTCCTTATTTCTTCAATCAACACTACTAGTTTCCTTCTACTATAATCATTATATCGTGGATATGCAGAAAGAGTTGCACCCTGTAGAAGATTACACGATCTAAATAATTCCACGGGGATATTCAGGACTTTCCACCTAGAGAGCCAGGAGCTAGCGGCAACGACAGCGGTCATTTGTTTCAGGAAGGTGAACGAATTCACCAACATCTCTGGTGAAGAATTTAAATTTATCTCAGGAGGCCCCAGAGGTGCGGAGGCGTCTGCCGAGGCCTAGCGTCTGGACAGATGTTAGTTTATTTTTTACTTCATTTTTTACTTCTTGGTAAAGATTAGTGTAAGGAAAAAAAGGAATCAAATAAATCGGGTATTTATATTTTCTTCTATTGATCGATGCGACATGCGACTGATAAATATCCGTAACAACTATTGCAGTTTCACAACAACACAAACTGTTATCGAAATTATAGCAAGGAAATTTAATATTTTTTGTAATACTTTCATTTTATCTATTGTCATAAAACCTATTAAAAACAGGATGTAGGGTCACCATAAAAAAATGAAAAAACTAAAATTACAAATCCATTGTCTCGTTTTGGGATTTAAAACTTTTGAAACTGACTACAAAACTTTTCTCAAGTGACATCAGTATGAAGTCGTAAGCCTTCACCTCCTGTCCATAGATAACCTTTAGATTTCCCACTCCCATGTTATTGTAGGGATCGTATTTTTGCGGCATCTAGTAGAATAAGGAACAATTTTCTGCACGTTAAAGAAACCTGCATTACCGAGATCACAAACCGCTTTTATTTGAATCGCAGTTCTTTGAATTTTTAGAGTCAAATTTCAACTATTAAGCTATAAGTTCTAGTTAAACCTAAGTTTTGTCTAGACAAAACTTAGAATTAACTAGAGCTAGTAGCTTAAATTCATTTCTATTGAGAATAATTGGTAAAACAACAAATATCTGGTAAATATGGGCTGAATATGAATTTGAAAAAAACAAAATTCATGATTATAACAAATTACTTCAATATCAATAGACAGCATGCAAATAGTGAAAGCCCAACACTACAAATACTTGGGCACAATAACAAATGAAACTGTCGAACAGTAGTGAATAATAGGGACATACTCCTCATTTGAAAGTGTCTCTCAAGGACCCAGTAGCGTAAGGGAGCGTTCACTCAATAGGGACGTAAAAAAAATATCGATATACAACTTTTCGATATTAAAACAAGTAACTTTACACCCTCTTCCTCCCACTCTACTACAGGCTTGTAAAGATGTCTGATTGAAAATAATATATATTTTGATATTAAAAAAATTAGTCGTTTCGTTCCTCTCTTCTTCAGAGAGGGAGGGTAATATAAAAAAAACAGGGAGATTCATGATTATCCCCACTTACTTTCGCTCCCACTATATCAATGTCCAGTCATATATAGTAAAAACATCCAATAGTAAGTATTAGGTCAGAATGACGGAAGAAAATCATTTAGAACCCCTCTCTCAACAGACCAGTTTTACTGTTCAACATCAATCTATACTTAGTGTATTACAATCTCCTCCTAGGGAAGAAGAAGAATATATAACCTGCGAACAAGATACAAAAGAAAATATAGAGGAAATTAAGCGACTGTTTTGTGCAATTTGTCACGACATGGTTGATTGCTTCGAAACTTGTGTGCCAAATACTTGTTCCCATTTTTTTTTGTTTAAACTGTATATTAACATGGAACGATGTACGTTATGATTCAAAAATGACAACTAAGTGTCCACTATGTGGTTCATATTATAAATATTTAGTGCAGTTTCGAAAAGATATAATTCGATATTACTTTGTCCAGAGTATAAAAAGGATATTAAAATAAATGTGACTATAAATATTTGCAGTTTTATTTGATATCATGTAAAAGTTGGATATAATAATAATGTAAAAATTGATTTGACAATAAATATTATTTAAAAAATAAGTTCTAGAGATTTTATCCAAGGTTCCCATCAATTAAACACTTCATTTAATTCTAAACACACACAAGCAAACAACAACACAACTAGTTTAATATATTATTATCACCACATTTTATCGATATTTTAAAACATTGCTCATCTCTAATATAAAATTTAAAAAATAAAACCAGTACCGCGAAGAGATAGGTTCAACGATCTCAGGGTCAACCTGTTAGCTTGGAACAGCTTGGAAGCAGACCTGCCAGACGAGGTAAAACTCTCGGTCGTACCACTTGCTTGCGAAAGAGAAAAACGATACTTAAATTTCGCGTCCATTACAATTAAGTTTTGGTAAACATTATCTGTGTCAGTTAAAGTTAATATATATTATAGATTTGGTAAGTTATAGTTTTATACCTATTCATTTAATAGAATTAAGACTTTTTTATTCAAAAACTTGTCCAGTTTTTAGTTATATTTTACACTTAAAATAAAAATAACATTCTTCAAATTTAACTCGTTATAAACAAAATAGTAACAACAGTAAAAACACAGAAAAAAAACAACCAACAATTAAACAGTAACTACAATAAAATTAAAATAGACAAAAAAAAACAGATAAACCGCAAAACAGACAACCAAAAACGCTAAAAATTGGCTGTTTAAATTTAATTCACACATAAATAGTAAAAAAAATACAACCAACAACAGTAAAATTAAAATAGAAAAACTACAATAACAAACACATAAACCACAAAACAGACCACCAAAAACGCTCTACACAACAACAATAAAATTAAAATAGACAAAAATACTAACAAACAGAAAGGGATAAACCGCAAAACAGACAACCAAAAACGCTAAAAAACTAGCTGTCTAAATTTAATTCACACATAAATAGTAAAAAATTCAACCAACAACAGTAAAATTAAAATAGAAAAAGTACACTAACAAACACATAAACCGTAAAACAGACAACCAAAAACGCTAACAAAACTGACTACTCAATATGACATAAATTTCTATTCCAAATTTCTTTCATTATCAGATCATCAAAGATGCAACATAATAGTATCTTAATAAAGTCAGTTAAAATAAATAATTCTTTTATAGGACTGAAATATCAACATGTTCAATTGCACATCTTGTGGTAAATCTTTTAGTCGTAAAGATAACGTATTACGTCACATGAGGACTGCCTGTAGCAAGTCAAGACTTTTCAATCAAAGGGTTGCAAAGTCTACTGTGAATGAAAAAAAAGGTAAAACAATTTTCTCGCTAGTTTACAATTTTAGTCTTAAAAATATTTCCTTTTAGAGAGATTTTGTAAAGATTGTAATGTGCCAGTTTTGTCAAATATGTGGGTAGGGCATTTACGATCCAACTTTCACAAAAACAATTCTAAAATGATAGAAGATAAAGGAGTTCAAATTATTAAGTCGGCATCTAAGGAACGAATAGTGTCATACAGAATTACTACAGAAAAAAATATTCTAGATGTAAAACAATATTTTAAAGAATTAGAAGTCAAAATTCTGTGTATACTAGACAACCAACTCACAAAGCATACCCGCATTAAAATCAATATGGAACTTTTTGGTTATTACTATAATCCTACTACTAATAACCATGATGTCAAATCATTCAACACACCTTTTAAAGTAGTTTGTAAAAGCACCGAAATGAAAGATTTGGTAGAAGAATTTTTAATGATTATTGACAACAAGGCTGACGTGTTCGATGAAAAAGATTCCGGTAAGAGATTTTTAATATAAAAATATAAATACTTAATTTTATTTTTTGTTTCAGGATGGATCTTACTTAATTTTCTTTACTTGGAGATTAATATTAATAAATTCAACCCAATGAGAGCATCATCGTTTGTTGAACTTCCTCCTGAGATAGTACGACGTCAAGCTATAGTCAACATTAGAAACAACGATGACTACTGCTTTGCTTGGTCTATAGTAGCAGCTCTTTATCCCCCAAAAGGTGTCGACTTTTTTACATCATCGTATCCACACTATTCAACAGTTTTGAACACTGCAGGTATTGATTTTCCAGTGTCATTAAAAGACATTAAAAAATTTGAAATTCAAAATAATATATCGATTAATGTATACGGTTTAGAAAAATATTTTAATAAAATTTCTAATAGTGAAGAATATGAAGTAATAGGGCCTTTACATATTTCAAGTGATAGAAAAAATGTACATGTTAATTTATTATTGATAAGTGATGATGATGGAAATCTTCATTATTGCTACATTTCCGATCTTTCAAGATTAGTTTCTAAGCAACTGAGTAAACACCATGGAAGAAAATACTTGTGCAATGGATGCCTTCAATATTTTGATACAGAACAAAAATTACAAAACCATAATAGTTATGATTGTGATCATATTAGAATTAGTTTACCTTCTAAAGAATTACATAAGGATAAGTTTGGAAATGTAGCATATGAAAATATATTGAAATATGTAAATTATCAAAAACAAATGGAAGTCCCTTTTGTAATTTATGCCGATTTTGAATGCATTCTGAAACCTTTAAATAATAATGATAATGTAGAAGACCCAAATAGTTCATATACTGTAAAAAAAATTGAACACGTTCCCCATTCCTTTGCATATTACATATAATGTTCATTTGATGATACATATTCTAAATTTGAAAGTTATAGAGGTTTGAATAGCGTCCAAGTTTTTATAGATTCTTTGGAAAAAGATGTGTTAAACTTATACCACATATTTTTAAAAAAAAATAAAAAAATTAATACTTTGACGGAATTAGAAAAAATTAGACACAACTATGCCACAGATTGTCATATTTGCGACAAACCACTTTTAGATGATAAAGTTGCTGATCATTGTCAAATTACTGGTAACTATAGAGGACCAGCTCATTCTTTATGTAACTTAAACTATAAAATTCCTAATTATATTCCAGTTATAACACACAACTTACGTAATTACGACTGCCACCTATTTATAACAAGCCTATGTTCAAATAAAGAACAATTAAAAGTAATTGCACAAAACAAGGAAAAATATATTTCTTTTGAAAAACAAATCCATGTAGACAATTATTTTGATAAGCATACTAAATGTATTAAACAAAAGAATCTATCACTTAGGTTTATTGATTCTTTTCAGTTTCTATCCTTTTCTTTATCAAAACTTTCCGATACCCTAAAAGATGAACAATGTGTAGAAGTAAGAAAATTTTTTGATGATGATGAAAAATTTAGTCTTATTCGTCAGAAAGGTGTATTTCCGTATAGTTATATTGATAGTTTTGAAAAACTAGATGAACAGTTTTTACCAGAAAAAGAAAAATTTTATAATAGTTTAACAGACCAACATATTTCTGACCAAGAATATCAAAGAGCTCTTAAAGTTTGGAAATTATTTGAGTGTAAATCCATAGGACAATATTCAGATATTTATTTGATGTCTGACACAATACTTTTAGCTGATATTTTCGAAAATTTTCGAAAAACATGTTTATCCACATATAAACTAGACCCTGCACACTTTTATACATTTCCCGGCTTATCATGTAAGGCTTGTTTACGTTATACAGGTATAGAATTGGAATTATTAACTGATCCGGATATGTTGCATTTTTTCAAAAATAGCGTTCGTGGTGGGGTTAGTTCTTGTATAACAAGAAAATCTGAAGCAAATAATCCTTTTCTTTCAAGCTACGATGCATCAAAACCGCATAAATACACAATGTACTATGATGCAACAAATTTATACGGGTTTGCAATGTCCCAATATCTGCCAATGGGTGATTTTGTATGGTTAACAGAAAAAGAAATAGAAAATTTAGATATTTTTTCTATTTCTAACACTTCAAATACCGGATATGTGCTAGAAGTTGAAAATCTCCATGACCGTCACAATGATTTTCCTTTTTGTCCTGAGAACTATAAACCACCCAATTCAAATTCCACAAAATTAATACCTAATTTAAATAGCAAATCCAAATATGTTATTCATTACCAGTTATTACAACAATGTCTACAAAATGGACTTAAGTTAACTAAAATACATAGAGTTTTACAATTTTCGCAATCTTCTTGGCCAAAAAATTTTATAGATTTAAATACAACATTACGTAATGAGTTTAGAAATGAATTTGACCGTCACACGTTTAAATTAGCAAATAACGACTTATTATAAAGACTTGTTACAGAATGGGAAAAAAATAAACAAAAAAATTGTGCTGAAAATTTGATTGCAAAACCATATTTCAAAGATTTGACTATTTTCTCAGAAAATTTGGTGGCTATTCAAATGCAAAAAGTATCAATCACTTATAATAAACCAATATACGTTGGATTTTGCGTTTTAGATATATCTAAAACTGTTATGTACGATTTCTTTTACAACTTTTTAAAACCTCTATATAAAGAAAATGTTTCTCTTCTGTATACAGACACTGATTCTTTTATTCTTGAAATCGAAACACACAATATTTATTGTGATATGCAAAAGAATATTCATAAATTTGATACATCCAATTATTTACCTAATAATATGCATAATATGCCAATAACACAATCAGTTGTTGGTAAATTTAAAGATGAATATGCTGGTGAACCTATTACAACATTCTACGGTACGGGAGCAAAAGCCTATTGCATAAAAACTGAAAATAGTCTCTTAAAAAAAGCTAAAGGTATTAAGAAACCTACTGTTAAAAATCAGTTAGACTTTATCCACTACAAAGATGTTGTAGAAAATAACTCTAAAAAATTTTGCTTTATGTATGTGTTTCGTTCTCGACTACATACAATTTTTACCGAGTTGGTAAATAAATCTAAATCGCTAAGTTCAGAAGATACGAAGCGATATAAAATTCCACATGATTATAAAACACTCGCTTGGGGTCACCAGGATATTCCATTTTACCAGTGGAGCGCTGATCATCCCGATTTAGATGTATTTTTTTAATTAATATTATATCAAACATATTGTTAATATTATATTAGTAATAAATTGTACTGAAGCTGTGGTTGGTTCCTTGTGAAACATCGTTGAAATATTAGTATTTTAATAAACAATGATTTCATGATATCATTGTATAGTAAATAATCACAAAATTAATGAAAACTCCATTAAGTTACTACACAGAGAAACAAAAGATAGACGCTTAAATTACATTGAACAGTTAGAAATACTAAAATCTGTTAAAAACGAAAATAATGTTAACGACCAACAAGGATTTCTAAACACATTTTTTATTACCCCTATTGTAAACTCTCTGAACCCACCCCCATAGCAAATATATATATATAGTTACAGTGTAGTTAGACGATTAGTTCTTAAAAAATTCTTGAAAAAGGCCTGACAAGCCGAAACATATATGTAGAGTTAAAGTTACTCTTATTAAAAGTTTTTTGAAACATCTAAAAGCGTGCTTTATTAAAATACTAATATTATATTAGTAGTTTAATCACATATTTTGTTTTAATAAATTATTATATATGTTTTATATAGGTATATAACAAATGTATATACACGTAATTAAGATTATATAGTTGTAAATTTTAGTAATCAATTATTTTAGTCCACCACATATTTTATATTTCACTTGCTAATGTTCTCAAATAAATGTACTTATATTAAGTACATTTTTTTTTAATTAATAGTATAGTAAATTAAGTATAGTACTTATAGTAAATTCTTTTTAAATTATTTTATTTTCTATTGATCGTTCATAAGATGTGTTTGGAAAGCTTTGATAAAGATATCGATAATGTTGCTTATAAAACATATGATACAAGGCTTTCTACCTTTAAAAAATAGAAAGGTAGATTAAAACCTGAGATATTAGCTGGAGCGGGATTTTACTCAATTTTGTTTAGTGATGTTTGCCAATGCTACTATTGTGGAGTTGAAATTTATGATTGGTTGTATGATGATTGTCCTGTCGAAGAGCATTATAAATTTGCACCAACATGTAATGAGTGCTTAAGACTAAACAAAAATATTAATAAGCAACTTTTTACAACGTTTAGAAATAAAAAAAATTGGAAATATAAAAATCTAGCGATTTTAGTAATAATTTATTTCTGTTATCAATATATATTTGTTATAGCAAAATGTATTTATATTAGTTTATGATAGCAAATATAATCAAATGTTAAAGTGCTGTCCTCTTGAACGGATATAAATTTTATATATTAAATAAATCGATACAATGTTTACTTTATTTTAATGGCTTCTCTATCCCATTTAATCCTCCTTTATTTCATATCTCAAAATATTATTTATGTTCATTACCCTCCTAATGTAACATGATGTGAAATATGTTTCTCTAATAAGACAAATATAACCTTTGATAAAAATTGTCAATTTATGAAAGTTGGTTTAATCAATAATAATACATATAGTTTTATATATCCCATAAACAAAGGAGAAAATGGTTTTTTAAAATTTTATATCATTATTCCAATCAAACCATTTTTGATACTAATTGGATTGAAAGATCCGAATTAAAATATTCACATTTTCAAAATGAATCATACAACTATACTAAATTTATTAATGAAAAAAATAATGGATATAACATTTTTAATATCGTTAATCTCTTTTTAACTTTTACAATATTTTTGTATATTACAATTTTAATTATCTTTTTTTATTACATAAAAAAAAAAAAAAAAAAAAAAAAAAATCAATTTCATTTAAAATATTGTTTCTTTGAATGGACAAGCAAATGCGTACGACTTGATGATATGAAGCGTGGGTAAGAATTGTAGGGGTCTTTCGAATATTAAAGCAGGAGAAGAACTTAATGTTACTATTTAGTTCATTCACCACCATGTTCTAAAAACTTTGAAAATCTTAAATTCAAAAATTCCTTCTTTTAAATAAACGTCAAAGTTTGTTATTGTTGGTATAAGTAAATTTGGTGGAAAATTATACGGAAATAATCTCATAATTTTAATGGTCGAAACCATTTCATAGTCGTGGCGGTAAATTTCTAAAAGCTACAAATTGCATATTTCGTACTAAAGGAAGGAAAAAAAAAACACTAAAAAATAAAAGAAAAATAAAGTTACTTGGTTTTAAGATTTTTTTTCAAAGGAAAATGTTTGTACAGTACTGCTGGATCTGTGTCTATGAAAGGAATGCGGACAAAAAACATTTAAATAAACAGCAATATATTTTATACGTCGATTTGACGAGTGCGTCACGGCAAATCGCTCCGCCCACTCATTTTATTGGCTACTTGCAAATTTGTTGAATTTTTATTGATGGGACGCGTCGTCTATTCTTTTACGAAAAACATCGAGAGAATATCGTTTCCCCTCTCACGGATACCCCGTAGCTACAGAACGGACAGACGTACTGTAATTGTTTCAATTTCAGACTTTTTGAGACGGTGTAATTTGAGACGTGTCAACAATAACCAAGTGAATACCAAACTGAAATGTAAGTTCTACGACTGTTGTGGTGTCGTCATCATTCAATCACACCCTGTATTATTTGTTAACCTAATTTTATTTGCAGAATACGCTGCCGAAATTTCCGGAATACAGTTCGGACCACCCTGTATAACAATTAAAACATAAAAACAAATTCTTTTCGATACAGAAAAAAAATAAATGTCATTTTTTCTAAATGGTAAAAAATCGAAATGCGTTAACAAGCTTTCTAATTCGAACCCATAAATTAAAGCGTTCGTAACTACATCCCCGACCGAAGCTAACCACCTTCCCCCAAACTTTCCTCGTCGCGTCCACGGATTACGGAGTATACACCCGAGTCGGATTTTGTGCTCTATGTATCTTTTCACCTCTTCCGCGAAACATTCCGGTACTTAGGGATTAAGTACTTAGGCCACGCCGGCCCCAGATTCCACTGTTAGTTTTACTTTTAATTCCCCTAAAGCGTTCAGGGCGTGTTTTTTTGTGTTTTGTCGTTTGCGAAAGTGTAATCGTCGAAATTATGACAGAATATGTTGCAGATTTTTAGAATTGGTTAAAAAAAGCGTGAAAAATTACTTGTTGAATTTGGTTTAGGGTAAGGCGGGGTAAAATGGGACGTATGAGGTAAGAAAACGTGACGTCATACTAGTAGTCTTGGTTTGTTAATATTAATTCTGTAAATTAATAGTTATTTATTATACAGGATGAGTCTTAAATAGATGCATATATTTTCCGAGCTGGTAGATTTCGATAAAAGGAAAATATTTTCTCTTTTAAGTTTGAATATACACTCTGTATAAGTTTTTTACTTTATTATTTTCATTAATTGATGTTCGAGAAAGAATATTTATAAAAATGAGGAAGTTATACTGTCAGCTATCAGCCGGCTGTCATATTTCGTCCCCATTTCTTTTTGTTTAGCTTTGGGAAATGATAAATTCGTCTATAGATTAGGAAAACCACTTCATCGGTTACTTTTTCCAGGCCCGGCAAAATCCAGAGGGACTTTGTGGATATTTTTATTAATCAAATTGGGATAATCATAGGCATTGGCGTGGATTTTGTCTCTATTTAAATCGTTAAAATATTCACAAAGTCCAGAAATACTGTAACAAAATTAATTTCAGTAATTTTAATTTTTCAAATTTTTAACAAAAGAATTTATAAGGTACTAGCGTGTACCAGCGACTTCGTTCGCGTCGAATTAATCATTTGTAATGGTGATGATAAAGCAAAGCAAGAATTTTCATTAACATACAAACTGGATAAAATTTCTCACATTTATGTCAGCATGAGAAAAAACAATATGGCGATATTATTATATAACTTGGGAATTTGGCTTTCGAAAAATCCGTTTTAATAAAAAATAAAATAGCATGATTTTTTAAAAAATTTCAAAATATGTAAAAAACCAAATAAATTATACTTA